TATGTAGTAATCAGGAGCATGTGGAAACTGATATTAAAAACAAAGCATCAAAAAACCCACAAAGTATCGTTTATAGTTGCTTCAAAGAAATGGAATATGGGATGCCTGAGTGGCTCAGTTTGTTAAGCATCTGCCTTTGGCTCAGGTCATGATCCCAGGGTCCTGGGATGGAGCCCCACGTGGGCTCCCTGCTCAGTGGGGAGCCTGCTTCTCCCTCTGCCCCTTCCCCACAATACTCGTTTGCACACGCTCTCTCTCTCTCTCAAACGGATAAGTAAAGTCTTAAAAAAAAAGAAAAGGAATACTTAGGAACCCATTTATTAAACACATATCAGATCAAACACAGAAAACTACAAATTTGATGAAAGGAATAAAAAAATTAAATAAATAAATAAATAGACACACTGTGTTCATGGATTGGAAGACTAAAAACAGAAATTGTGTCAATTCTCCCAGAAAGTGGTCGTTGAGCTTAACACTATTTCTAGCATAGGTTTTCTAAACCAATAGACAAATATATATGGAGAAACACAAGCCCTAGAATTGCTAAAGAAATTTTGAAAAAGAAAAAGGAAGTGGGGGAAATCACTCTACCTGATTATTAACACAAACTAAAGAGCTACCACAATCCGGACAGTATAGTAGAAAGGAAAGGATAGACACATAGAGCAATGCACCAGAATTGGATGCAATCCACAGAGATGTGCTCAACTGATTTTTGACAAGATATGAAAGAAATTCACTGAAGGAAGGATAGCCTTCCCTACAATTTGTGCTCTAGCAATTTGACTGTCTTGTCAAAAAATGGAACCTGGACCTACACCTTCAAACCTGACACAAAAATTAACTCAAAACGGACCACAGATTTAAATGGGAAATAAAAGTTTGAAATTTTAAAAAGAGGGGCACCTGCGCGACTCAGCGGTTGAGCATCTGCCTTTGGCTCAGGTTGGATCCCTGGGTCCTGGGATTGAGTCCCACATCAGGCTCCCTGCAGGGAACCTGTTTATTCCTATGCCTGTCTCTACCTCTCTCTATGTGTCTCTCATGAATAAACAAATAAAATCTTTTTTAAAATTTTTAAAAAGAAAACACAGAAGAAAATCTATGGGACCTAAGGCCTGGTAAAAAAGAGTTTTTACATCTGATCCCAAACCACAATGCATAAATCATTTGAAACTCATCAAAATTTAAATATTTAGCTCCGAGAAAGCAGAATGAAAAGACAACCTGAAGACTGGGAGGAAAATATTTGCAAACCATGTGTTTGACAAAGGGCTCATATGTAGAATATATAAAGAACTCACAAAACTTAAAAAACAAACAGCTCAATTAGAAAATGACAAAAGATTTCTCACTGAAGAGGATATACAGATAGAAAATAAGTACATAAAAAGATTTTCAACATCATTAGCCATTAGGGAAATACAAATTAAAACTACAATGAAAGGGTGCCTCGGTGACTTAGTCTGTTAAGTGTTTGCCTTCGGCTCAGGCCATGGTCTCAGAGTCCTGGGATTGAGCCCCACATCAGGCTCCCTGCTCAGCAGAGAGTCTACTTCTCCCTCTCCCTCTCTGCCTCTGCCCCCAACTTATGCTCGCTCTCCCTTTAAATAAATAAATAACATCTTTAAAAAACTACAATGAAATATCACTCCATCACAATGGCAAAAATAAAAATACAATGATAACACCTGGTGCTGATGAAGATGCAGAAAAACTGGATATATTCATAAATTGCTGATGGGAATGTAAAACATTATAGCCACTCTGGAAAAAAAGTTTGGCAGAGTCACAAAACTAAACGTGCCCTACAACCCAGAAATTTAATTTTGGAGAATTTATCCAGATAAAAAATTTTGTTCGCATCAAAACCTCTAAACAAATACTCATGGTAGCTTTATTCCTAATAGCAAAAACTGGAAACAACCTTGATGTCCTTCATGGGCGAATGGCACACAAACTATGATGCCATCATACCAAAGAATACTACTTGGCAATAAAAAGAAATGAACTAGGGATCCCTGGGTGGCACAGCGGTTTGGCGCCTGCCTTTGGCCCAGGGCGCGATCCTGGAGACCCGGGATCGAATCCCATATCGGGCTCCCAGTGCATGGAGCCTGCTTCTCCCTCTGCCTGTGTCTCTGCCTCTCTCTCTCTCTCTCTCTCTCTCTCTCTCTGTGACTATCATAAAATAAAAAAATAAAATTTAAAAAAAAAATAAAAAAAAAGAAATGAACTATAGGGGCACCTGTGTGCCTCAGTCATTTGAGCACTGGACTCTTGGTTTTAGCTCAGGTCATGATCTCGTGGGTCATGAGATCATGCTCCAAGAGGGGCTCTGCACTCAGCTGGAAGTCTGCCTGAGATTCTCTCCCTCTGCCCCTCCCTCTGTACACGCACCCATGTTCTCTGTCTCAAATAAATAAATAAATCCTTAAACTATAACTTTTTATTAAAAAAAGAAATGAACCATATGTTATATATATATGCTATATTTCCACTGTGGCGGTGGATGCATGGACCTACATATCTGATAAAGTTGCATAGAGCGAAACATACACATGCACACATGTGCACACATGCACAAGTAAATTGGGGAAAATTTGAACAAGAGAGATAGATGCATCAATATCCTGATTTTGATACTGTACCACAGGTTTGAAAGATATGTGAAACTAGGTTAAAAGTACATGGGATCTCTGTACTTTTTCTTACAACTGCATGTAAATCTATGATTATCTAAAAAAAAACCCTAAAAGTTCAGTTGCAGTTCTATATACCAACAATGAACATGTGAAAACCAAAATAAAACACCTACAATCACTTATACTCACTCCAAATAAAATGAAATAGATATAACTCTAGCAAAATATGTATAAGTGGCTGAGTGAGTTCGAAGAGGTAACACTAAGGAGTTCTTTTGTACTGATAGAATATGTTTGTATCTTGATTTTTAGTGGTGATTACAGGAATCCTGACATGAAATGAAATGGCTACAGTGATACACACACACACACACACACACACAAATTAATGCAGGTAAGGAAATGGGGAAAGCTGAATTAAGCCTGTAGTCTACTTAACAAATAATGTACCAATGTCAAGTTCCTGGTTTTGATACATTGCATCTGTAGAAAATGTAACCATTGAGGAAGCTGGGTAAATGTGCAAGGTTTTTTTGTACTATTTTTGCAACTTCCTGTGAGTATTTAATTATTTCAAAATAAAATGTTAAAAATAAATGAGATGAGGCCAAGGAGGGGTTTCAGAAATGATTAGAGGAAATAAGCTATGCAAAAGAATGAGGCTGGATCCAGTCTGGAACAAAGGACTGAGATTTGTCCTTTGTGGACAAAGCCTGTATGTGGCTTAAGCCTGTATTTCTGTGGCTCTTTCTTTTTCAAGTGATTAATTTTTTCATGGCATTACACAAATATATATATATATATGCAAATGGACATACATATACATACAGAGAGTAAAAAGTACATCTTCCTTCCTACTGCCTTAACCAGAGGTAAACAATGTTGAGTAATTTGATATATCTGCCCTGATATTTTTTCTGCATTCACACCCATGTATGGTTATGCTGTGGTTAAAGTCATGATGCTACAGAATAACATAGTGGTTATGAAATTCTCTGTTTTGGGGCAGCTGGGTGGCTCAGTTGGTTATCTGGGCAACTCTTGATTTTGGCTCAGATCATGATCTTAAGGTTCTGGAATCAGCCCCTTGTGGGACTCCACGCTTGCTTCTCCCTCTCCCTCTGCCCCTCCCCCTGCTTGTGCTCTCTGGCTCTCTCTGTGTCAGATAAATAAATACAATCTTTTTAAAAGATTTTTTATTTTAAAATAAAAGGCTGATTTATTTATTTGAGAGAGAAAGAGGCTCCCCGCAGAGCAGGGAACCCAAGGCAGGGCTCAATCCCAGAACCCTGGGACCATGACCTGAATGGAAGGCAGGCAAGTGACTGAGCCACCTAGGTACTCATAAATAAATGAATCTTTAAAAAATGAAATCTTTTTTTCCACGACCATGTAAGTATGACAATTGCTCAGTGTACATAACTGTGCTGAGTTCCTCTGTTACAAAGATGCCACACATGTTCAAGTGTGATGATGATTAGGCATTTTGAGAGAGCGTAAATACTCAGACTAGCCTTCCTTGTGAAAACTGGGATGAGGTCTAGGTGAATCTACTCGCAGACAGCTTTTAAAAAGTCATGAATCAATGAAGCTCGATCATTTCAATAGTTTTGAAAAAGTGGTCGGGTTTGCGTCGGATTTGGTTTAGAATAAAGGTAAGATGAAACCACGAAAGGACTTTTAAGCCCACCAGCAAGGAAAACAGCCATGAACAAGGGCAAATGAAAACCTGAGAAGACCTTGTGCGGTATCCAGGGCAAACATACGCTTAAGAGGAGTACTTAGAAATAACTATGGAGGGAAAGGTAAAGGCAACGCGGGTAACGGGGCAATTCACCAATAGAGAAATACGCATGACCAGCAAATATACCAAGAAGAAAAAAATGCGCCTGTAGGTTTGGTGAACCTCTACAGTGCTGAGTTAGCAGAGAAATGCGAATTAAAGGTACAATAGATTGCCTGGCCGGGTTTTCTGTGTAGACAGTGCGGAAGGGGGATAAAGTAAACAGGAGGAGCCTTCCCAGTGGGCTTTCCGCACGTTATCAGTATAGCTTTCTAGACCCTCTGGCCCTCCGGCGCGCTCAAGGACACGCCCCAGAAGCGATCCTTGGGGAACGCCACCTTCCAATCCCTTCCCGCCCTCGGGCTCCGCCCTTGGGAGCCCAGGAGAAGGCGGGGCTTGCTGGCGGGGCGGTCCCGTGGACCGTCGCTCCGTGGCGCCCTGAGGGGGCGTGGCCAAGCCAGGGGCGGGGTTACGCTGGCGGAGGCTGCCCTGGCAGCCGGCGAGGGGCGGAGTCCTCCGTGGGCGGAGCTCCCCATAGGCTGCTGGAGAGGGGCGGTGGCGGAGGCGGAGGCGGAGGCGACAGCAGCCCAGGCTGCGTTCCCGGCCAGGCCAGGGAAGGGGTGACCCAAGGAGGGCCGGGGCGCTTCAAGCCTCGCGTCCACTGGGTCGGCGGGCCCGCGCCGGCCCGGGCCCATGGCGGCGTCGGCGGCTCTGTCGGCGGCAGCGGCCGCGGCGGCCCTGTCGGGCCTGGCGGTGAGGCTGTCGCGCTCGGCGGCGGCCCGCGGCTCGTATGGCGCCTTCTGCAAGGGGCTCACGCGCACTCTGATCACCTTCTTCGACCTGGCCTGGCGGCTGCGCATGAACTTCCCTTACTTCTACGTGGTGGCCTCGGTGATGCTCAACGTCCGCCTGCAGGTGCGGATCGAGTGAGCGCGCGCCGCCGCAGCCCCGGCCAGAGGGTCCCGCGGGCCGGGCCGCCGCGGGCAGGGGCGCAGGCATGGACGACGGCCGCCGGGACGCGGCGCGGGCAGGGGGCGGGGCGGCCCGGGCCCCGGGGCCCTAGACCCCCGCAGGAGGACGCCGGCCACCCGGCCGTGGGCCCGCCCTGCCCGGCCCTGGCCCGCGACCCCCCGCCCGCAGCATGGCCGGTGACCGATTGCACAGAAACTCAACAAACGGGCCCCTTCTGTCGAGCTCGAAAGAAAGAAAAAAAAAAACGATTTAAGTGCCGCCGACCTGTTGCCTCACGTTGGCCAGAGGCGGGGAAGCAGCAAGGAAAAATTCTGCAGCAGGGACTTGACTGGCCTCAGTCTTCAAGGTAGGAGGCCCGAGGCTGGACCCTATGGGCTGGCGGCGGCGCTTGCCATGACATCTTGGTGGCAGGGGGAACTGTGGACGGGACGCCAGGAAGCTAGCCCCGGAGCTGCCCAGGCAGGGGGCCGCAGGCACCCCAAACTCCCTGGTCCTCCTCATTCCCAGACGAGGGTGAGGGGCAGCGGCGGCCTAGGCATCTGGGAGGTCAGCCCATCCCCGCCCCGCTTTCCCCAGAGGCCCTGGCGTTGCCACCTGAACGCCAGTGAATGGAGGGGAATGAGCTGGGGGAGGCCCCAGGGAAGGCTGTAGAAGGAAAAGATGCTGCCACCCTTTGCCCCCTTGGGGGACCAGACAGGAAAGCTGGTTGTGCTCTTGGCCAGAGCGCTGGTCAGGCCTCTTCTCATCCCTCAGGCCCCTGGGGTCTGGGCAGCTGACGCCCAGCGCTTGGCAGAATTGCATCTGCCCGGTGTTGGTGTCCAGGGGACTGCTCTGGGCCTGCTTCTGCTGTGCCTGCTGCTCCCCTCCCCCCAGGGGCATCCTCTGGCGCTGGGCATTTGGACATTTGGAGACCTAGAGTGGAAAGGTCGCCCCGCCCTATCCCTGCCCCCACAGTCTCTCTCTTGCGCCATCACAGCCACCCCCCCCCCAGCCTCTACCTCTGCCCTCCCGATGCTACTGAGTGCCGCCTCCAGCAGCCTCTGTGCACCCAGAGCATCCGGGGAAATGGGGATCTCCTTGAGGAGAAGGCAGGCAGTTCTCAGGCTCGCGAGGCAAAAGCAGGTGGAGGAGGGGCTTGGGAGGAGACAGCACTTGGGGAAACCGTCACCACTCTTCGTGGGGAGGCCACACTGTGAAATCTCCATCTCTTTCTGTCTTTCAGGAGCCCCTTCTCTGGCCTTGTCAAGAGACTCCAATCCCTGCCCACGGGGTGCCCCTGGCCCCACAGCCGCCTGGGAAGCAGCTGGGCAAAAGGCCTGGGCCAGGAGGAGAGAAAGGACCTTTCAGGCAGAGGCACTGAGGGGTGGGGTACCCAGTGGTCCAGTTGTTGCATGGGGAAGGACTCGACCCTGTCATCTCAGCACTAGATCTCCTAGCAACACTTTGAAGGAGTTCTGTTCTCCCCGCCTGATGATTGGAAAAACTAGTTCTGGGACAGGGAGAGATTGTCCTTGTCATACGGATAAGAAGTGGTGGAGCTGAATCTGATCTGCCCCCAGACTTTGAGAAAACCTGGCATGGTAGGGGGTGGATGTGGGAGGGAACTCAGGGCCCCTCTGAGGGACCTAAGGGGGGAGAGAGAGAGGTCCAGGGTAGGGAATGTGGGGGATTGGCTTTTCTTGGAGTGCTATGGGAGGTCACAGGGGAGACAGCGAGAGCTGAGGTGGACTCAGGAGAGTCCTAGAACCCCTTGCAGAGCTGAAGTCTACCCACATGGCCTGGCCTCCCCAGCACCCCACCCCAGGCTTGACCAAGGGCTCCTCAGCAGTTGAGTGGCAGGAGCCTCTTAGTTTGGGGGGCAGGGTGGGGGTGGGTGGTGGCATGGCTCCTGGGGACATGACGGAACCAGGAGGGTGAAGGGATAAACCTAGGATGAGGCTGGGACCCGTGTGTGACTCCGTCTCTCTGTCCCCAGGCTCAGGCCCCCAAGCCCAGGATCACTCCGAGAACCTTCTCTGGATGGGCTTGGATTGGTCCCGGAGGACCCAGGTGTACTGCTACCTGGTGCACCAGGATGGCCAGGCATGGCCCCAAGGGGAGCCAGGAAAGACCCCTGTCCCACAGCTGCTCTGCCACTGGTTGCTCTCGGCCCCCACGCTCTGAATTCCTGGACCTGAAAACCAAAGCAATCTGGTCAGCCCCAGGGACAGAGTGGCCCAGTGTCACACCTCCTGCTCTCCTCCCTCAGCTGCCAAGCTGGAAGCCTGATCCTGACTGAAGAGCTCTGCCTGCCTCACCCCGGGGACTGAGGCCAGACAAAGCCACCATGTGTCCCCTGCAGCTCCCCACAGGGTGTGATGGCTTCCTTCCTTGTGCCTAGTGTCCTGAGGTCCCTGATCCGGGTGGCGCCTCCCATACCCCAACCCTTTCCACCGAGGTCCAGTTCGGGAAGCATGCCAGCCTGCTGACTCCATCTACAGATGTCTGGGGACAGCCTTCAACAGCCACCTGGGGCTGTCTGAGAGGAGAGGACGAGGGGCCTCCTTAGGGCTGATCCACTGATGTGCCCCTTTCAAGACCCCCGTCTCACCCTCGAGTGACCTGCTCCCCAGCTGCAGCCTTGTGGCTCAGGTGGAGCTGCCTGGGGCCTGTGACATCTCTTACTCGCGGAGAGGGGTGGGGGGAGCCTCAGGGCCCCTGGCCCGCGGCCCCTCCCCTGCAGGAAGGTCCATCCTGTGCCACCCCCTCCCCCAAGGTACAGGGTGTCCCAGAGCAGCCCCCAAGGGTCAGGGGAGGGGATGCACGTCTTTCGCCCGTGTTCCTGCCACTGCTTTTCTGACCGGTTTGGCCTTGAGTACTTGGCACGCTTCTTCCCCACCCCTTCCCTCTCCCGCACTGGGCCCTGGCTGCCTGACAGGCTCTCCATGCACTTTATTTATTTGCAGTCTGTGTTCCAGGCGGCAGAGCTTCTACAGCATCAGAGCCACGGGCTGAATATGATGACTGTCACTTTCCCGCGTGTGATTAACTGCTGGTCAGCGCCGTCTGCTCAGAGGAATGGGCTCGTTTCTGCTGTCAAATCCTGTCACTCTTAAGTTAAAAAGAAAACCCTCCCTAAGTTCAATAAAATGAAATACAAGAGGAGGCCATCCTTCTGGTGTGGCGCAGTAGCCTTCGAGGAGGGGGCCAGCAGTGACATCACGCTGCAGGGCTGCGGGGTGGGGGTGGCGGTAGGGGTGGAGGCCTGCTCCAGAGGTGTGGGGAGATGGGCTGGCCTGGGCCACTGCTCCTTGAGGAGAAGGCAGCAGTGGGGCCTGGCCCAAGGAGTGGGAATTTGTCCTACTCACAACCTTTATCTGAATGACCAAGCACCTCTGTCTTTTCTCCATTTTCGAGCTGGGCTTCAGAAAGCACTTAACGCCGTGGAGGCTTGAGGGTGGGCTGGGGAAGGTGGGGTGAAATGGGCTCTCTGCACCTCTTTTTGGGGCCCCCAAAAGCCACAGCAGGTGGCGAGGACCCCTTGCCTCCCTGCTAGTCCGGTGGGTGCCCAGATTTGGAAAAGGTAAAGTATGGGGACTGGGAGCCTGCTGCCCTTCCCCCCAGCTTAGACCCCACCTGTCCCTTCAGAGCCCCAGCCAGGTGACTCCTCAGAGAGGCCTGGCCATGGGCTCGGCGGGCTGCAGAGCTGAGGGTGGATATGCAGGCAGAAGCCTGGTGGAGGGGGCCTGGGGAGCACAGTGGCCCAGGTAGAAGAAGGAAGGCTCTTGGTCCCCAGGGGGGAGGAAGCAGGGTCATGGTCACACGGAGGAGCACAGCCTGGGGCAAGGGCCTTGGGTATGTTCCCCTTGCTGGGAATTTCTGGGGGTCCAAGCGATTGGACAGGAGAGAGACCCTCCTGACATCTGCCACCACAGGAGAGATGGACCTCAGTCACTGCCAGTGCCCGGAACCCGCCCTTCACTCATCCTGTGGAAGGAGGTGCCCCAGAGGCTGGAGGGGGGGACACACCCAGCAGGGAATGGCTGCTGGGCCTCTGGGTCTGGATAACACCAGTCGGGTGCCCACTTTCTCCTGGTCATGTCTCCCTGACCTGGCTGTAAAGTGGACATGACAATAAAACCCCCTCCTTGTGGGGTCTTCTGGCCCAGGGCTTGGCCCAGACAAATGCTCGGCTCATGAGATGAACACTTCAGAATACTAGCAACAAAAATTTAAAAATTGGAATAAAGAAAATATTTTATATTTTATATTTTTATTTCATTCACAGTAGCCTAAAAAGAGTAGAACACTTAGGGATAAAGCAGATAAAGCAGATGTACCAACCTTGCATACTAAAAATGAGAAAACATTGCTGGGGTATGCCTGGGTGGTTCAGCAGTTGGGCTTCTGCCTTCTGCTCAGGGTGTGATACTGGAGTCACGGGATCAAGTCCTGCATCGGGCTCTCTGCATGGAACCTTCTTTTCCCTCTGCCTATATCTCTGTCTCTCTCTGTGTCTGTCATGAATAAATAACTAAAATCTTAAAAAAAAAGAAAACATTGCTGGGAAAATTTAAAGAAGCTCTGGATAGAGGGGTGCCTGGGTGGCTCAGTTGTTTAAGCGGCAGGCTCTTGATTTTGGCTCGGAGCATGATCTCAGGGTCCTAGGATGAGCCCTGCGTGGGGTTCTGTGCTCAGAAGTGAGTCTGCTTGAAGATTATCTCCCCCACAACCCTGCTCCAGCTCTCTCTCTCTCTCTCTCTCTCTCTCTCTCTCATATATATATATATATATATATATATATATATATATATATATATATAAAATGAAGAATGAAGGTATAGAGACATTTCATAGTTTGGAGACTGAATATTGTCAAAGATGGCAATCTTCCCCAAATTTATCTGTAGATTGAACAGATGCTCTATCCAGATCTCAGCTGAGTTTCCTGTAGAAATTGACAAGCCAAACCCAAAATGTAGGTGGAAATGTATATTACCTTAAATAACTAAAACATTTTGAAAAAAGAAAAAGTTGAGGATTCACCATACCTATTTCAAAACTTTGTTTAAACTACAGTAAGAAAGACAGTGTGGTATTGGAGCAAAGATATGTGTATTAATCATTGGAACAGATTGAGAGACTTTAAAGAAATCCTTACATTTATGATCCATTGATATTTTTTTATTGTGGCAAAATACCTATAAGATGAAATTTACCATTTTAACCATTTTAAAGTATACAATTCAGTGGCATGGAGTACAATCACAATATTTTGCAACTGTCACCAGTCTCAGGTTCCAGAACATTTTTATCACCCTGAACTGAAAACACCATATGCATGAAGCTGTCAATCCCTGTTCCCTCCCTACCCCAGCCCTTGGCAACCAAAAATGTGTTTTCTGCCTCTATAGATATGCTTCCTCTGGGTATCTGATAAAAATGAAATCACAGATATGTGACTTTTATGTCTGGTTTCTTTAACTTAGCATAAGGTTTGGGAGTGTCATCCACATTGTTACATGTGTCAGTACTTTGTTCCTTTTGGGAGGTGAATAATATTCCACTGTATGAATATACCACTTTTGTTTATCCATTCACATATGCTGATGGAGATTTGTGTTGTTTAGAACTTTTGGCTCTCAAAAAAAAAGAACTTTTGGCTCTTTTGAATAGTGCTGCTAGGAACATTCATGTACAAATTTTGTTTGAACACCTGATTTCAAATTTTGGGATCCATATCTAGGAGTGGAATTTCTGGATCACATGGTTATTCTACATTTAATTTATTAAGGAGCCACCAAACTATTTCACTTAGAGCTGCATCAGTGTATATTCACACTTGTAATGTATGATGCTTATGATTTTGCCACATCCAGCCCTATAATTGTTATTTTCCTGTTTTGAAATTATGGCCTCCTGGCGGGTGTGAAGTAGTATCTCATTGTGATTTTTTTAAGATTTTATTTATTCATGAGAGACAGAGAGAGAGAGAGAGAGGCAGAGACATAGGCAGAGGGAGAAGCAGGCTCCATGCAGGGAGCCCGATGTGGGACTAGATCCCTGGACTCCAGGTCACGCCAAAGGCAGACACTTAACCACTGAGCCACCCAGGCATCTCTCTCATTGTAATTTTTATTTGCATTTCCCTAATGACTAAGGATGTTGGGCATCTTTTCATTTGCCTGTTGGCCATTTGTATAACTTTGTAGAAAGTTTAGTACTTAGGGATAAACTCGACAAAAGATATGCAAGACCTGCACGCTGAAAACCTGAAAAGAATCTCAAGAACGAACATAAATGCAGAACTATGCCATGCTCATAGATTTGAAGACTCTGATGAAACTGACATATAGATTCAGTGCATTCCCAACAAAATCATAGCAGGACTTTTTAAAGAAATTACCAAGGTGATTCCAACATTTATACTAAATACAGAAGGCTTAGGACAGCCAAACAATTTTGAAGATGAGCAGAGTTCCAGGTCTTTGACACCTTCATTTCAAGACTTACTATAGAATGTAAGCCATCATCCGGGCCTTGCGGTATTGCAGAAAGAGATCAATGAACAGAAGCGAGTTCAGAATGTACTCAGAACTAGGTGGACAATTGTCTTTTGACAGAAGCATCAAGGCAATCCAATAGAGAAAGGATAATATTTTCAAGAAATAGTATTGGGCACATCGGAAAGGCCTGCCTGGAAAAATGAAACTTGACCCTAACCTCACATCATATACAAAAATCAATTCAAAACCATGGCATACATGTAAGAGACGAAACTGTAATACATGCCACTTGTGGGTTACTGTAGTTCTCAGCTGAACTGCTGCTGGTTGTGCTTCTCTCCGATGTCAAATTTTTTTTTCTTTTATAAGATTTATTTATTTATTTATTTATTTATTTATTTATTTATTTATTTATTTATTTATTTATGATAGACATAGAGAGAGAGGCAGAGACACAGGAGGAGGGAGAAGCAAGATCCATGCCCGGAGCCCGACACGGGGCTCCATCCCGGGACTCCAGGATCATGCCCGGGCCAAAGGCAGGCGCCAAACCGCTGAGCCACCCAGGGATCCCCTCTCCGATGTCAAATTTAATAAAAAAGTCAGACCACATCACCCTGGCGATAAGGCTAAAGCAGATGCCCCGCAGGCTCACACTGACCCCCACATCCCCAAGCCCCTTTTGGTGCCCCAAGACCTTGCCCCTTAAAAACTGCTCCGCATGGCTGACTGCCGCCCCTTGGTGGAAGGCGAGAGCAACGGCCCCGCCAGGCTTTCTGATGTAGTTCGAGGAACTCGCCAGGAGATGGCGCCACGCTCAGCACAGGCCAGATTCGCGGGAGCGCAAAGGGCCTTTCATCCAGCTTTGACAGAATTAAGCTGCCTGTAAACTAGGAAACCCTGGAGATGAGGTAGAGGTTTCCCAGTTACCCGAGGTGCAAGATCTTGAGCAACGAAGACCCCTGAACGGATGATGTGCTGCCGATTCCAGGCATGCTGCAACCATGATTCTCAGACACGGGGGTAGCAGGGCACCCCCGTGTCACCAGGGTCTGTTCAGAACCCCGCTAATACCAGGAGATGGTCAGTCCCATCCTTAAACCGGGGCCCGTGCGGTCCTGGCAGGCTGGGGAAGCGGAAAGCAGAGGGGTTTGGACCCTGGTTCTTAAGGTTGTGAGCGGGGACTTCTGCCAGGCCCACATACTCTCTGCCCCCCCCCCTTCGTCATCTGCACAAGGATTAGTGACCCAGGGGTCCTGTGGGGAGTCGGTGAACACATGTCCGTCAGTGAACAAGCATCGCGCGGGGCCGACACGTGGAAGCCGTGGGGTAAACGAAGACTAGTCTTTATCGGCGCTTAGCCGTGTGGGCAGCTAGTCACACAGGCTGTGCGGGGTCAGGGACGCCAAAAGGCAGCCCCGTGTCCGCGTCAGGGCCACAGACCTGGTGGTGGGGGTCCCACTGCTGCACCATCTCTCAGCCGCGGTGGGGAGCGCCCTGGGCCGGCCGGAGCCCCAGCCCCGTGACTGATGGTGACAGTGGCAGGTGCCACAGGGTCCCGGCGGGCTGTCACGGAGGCGGGGGGGGGACGTGGGAGGGGACCCGAGGGTCCCGGCTGCTGTGGCACCCCGCTGGGCAGGAGCCCGGCCTGCCACGCGTGGTCC